TATAAGTGGAAATGAAATTTAGTTGTACGAAGTTGCTTTGCTTTTGTTTTCTGTGATGGCACAATTTACACAATTAATTATTTGTTTCTTGTTAATTTACATCCTTCTCAGCCTTGCTAAATTAATTTAGTGCAGTTACACAGAAATTGGTGTTTAAGGGGTCTATTGTGCATGCAGACAAGCATTCTAGTTCAGAGTGCAGGATACTGGGACATGAACAGCCCAAAGACCACATTTTCTCAGAAGAGTCTTTCTTTCAGGCACAATCATATCAGTCAAACCACTGTCAGAGTGTAGATGTATCTAGCAAGCCAGCTAGCACAGCTTAATGTCTTCCTTTGTCAATAGGTGTGAGCTTTTTACCCTACGCAGCGTATGCATGCTGCAAGAGACATTAACCAGTATAAAATCAAGGAATTAGATTTTGATTTTATTACCTTAATTTAGACACTGGCTTTCTTATGATTTTGGCTTATCATTTTAATTTGTCCTCCTGTCAACTTTCACAAATCTCTCTCTGCATTATAGTCAGGTATCACAGCAGGAAACACACCAGGGCTTTGTCTGGGAAAGGGTGTGCATAACACTGGGGAGTCTCTTTTGATAACTAGTCTTGATGAGGTTGTAGATTATTTTAGAGTAAATGAGGTTTCACTTGGATTAATTTCTTCAGACATTTAGTCCTTTATCATGATAACTTCTGGTTGACTTTTTGTTTTTCTTAGCTTTTATGTGACTCAGAATGAAGCAGCTGAGATTCCATCAGCCTTTTCACTTTCTCAAGCAGAAGTCCCTTCTGTTCCCTGCTGCTCTGCTTAAGCAAAACACCGTGACTCTGCCTTGTAAGGGAACACTTTAGTGTTTACAAGAAACTTCCTGAGATGAGGGAACTTTGAAGTCACTCTTGATATTCTGTCACTGGAGAAAAAGGAAGCAGTGACAACCTATGATTTGTCACAAAACAAGAAATAACCTCTGAATAATTGTTCTCATTAGATAGAGGTTTGTTGTCATGGTAATATTATCATCCCTGTTGATGCAGAAAACTGAACAGGGTCATAAAACAGCAATGAAAGAATTGGGTAGGAAATAGTCTTTCAGGATGTGATTGTTGGCAGCTTTCCCAGGAAACTTCTAACCCAGAGATGCCTGATTCATCTAATTCCCTGATGCAGTCCATGTAGCACAACAATTGGCTGCTTCCTGAATGAGCATCTTGATATCAAGACCATTCACAAATCCTGAAGGCACCATACAGGCCCTTAGGGCTCTGATTATGATGCTGAAATCTTTAAAAATGTTCAGAAGTTTGTAAATAATGTGATCATAGTGTGTAGTATATGCAGCACGCAGTATATGAAGAAAGGTGGTTTCAGAAGGGAAGATTTTGAAGTTGGTGCTTTTGAAAAGCTCAGCAAAACAGTGAAAAGCAAAAGTGGCTTTTAAAAAGAGATGCAAGATTAGGGCTGCTGTTAGTACGGAAAAACTCTTTGTGGTGCAAGATGAACTTTGTTAGATTTTTTTTTTTTTAAACCTCATTTAACCAGCAAAGAGAAAGCTTAATTAAAACAAACATCAAGATTTAACTGGGGAAAGTAAAATTTAACTGCAAGATGAACAACGTCAGTAGGTTGCTTGGGTATTTATGAAGGCAAAATTGAGAAACTGTTGTATATTATAGGTTGCAGGTAGATCACCAGCAGTTATGCTGAAGTGCTGCACATTAGGCATCTCAGTTTCTGTGCTGATACTGTGCAGACACTTTCCTTCACATAGAAAATAAAAATAATCCAGTGACTGGAATTCTGGACAAGGACTTGAGAATGCTGCCACTGACCTTTTGTGGGAATTAGACAATTCTAGGAGACTGCTGATCAGCTGCATATACAGAAATAATATTTTAATACTTCACATTGTCTTTCAGTCATGGTTAATTTGATGCTTTTAGCTGGCTACTGTTTCTTTATTTTATTCAAAAGTACTGTAATAAAACTGTTAGGACTAGCGTGTGAGGAAGTGGAGTAAAAGAACTGCTGTGATGTCATTCTCCCTTGTCTGAGCCTTAATCCTGAGGTAGAATACTTAAAAGGAAATGATTATACCACTTGAGCCCAAAACTAGCTAGACTAGCTGGTTCCCTTGCAACTGCTATTTCATGTCAGCAAATATATTCAGATTCCACAATGCTTAAGTATGTATAGAATACCTGGTCGTGGTCCAGATATTTTTCTACAAAGAACTAACATTCAGGGGATATCAATTGTAGTAAATTAAATAGTACCAGGGAACATCGGCATGGATCAGAGCTTCACTGTCCTTAAAAAAGTGTCCTGCTTTATTTTGTCCTGAGGCTGCTTCCACTTTCACAAACAAGAAATGGGCATGATTCAGGTGTAAGCATGATTCAGGTGTAAGCATTGCTCAGGGAGCCTTCCTGCTATACAGTTTCACTGAAGCCTGTTTTGGTGGGGAAGAAAGTGTAATAATGCGGACATGAGCCATTCCGTGCCGGCTGGCCTGGGGTCAACCAACAGGTTTGTGCATATTTATTTACTAGCCTATCCAAGAACTACTTCTAGAAAAAAGAGGTTTGTGTGTTCTGTTTTACTGGGATTTTTGTAAAATTAATTGCAATGGAATTCAGTTTCAAATTTTTATTTCAAAATGAAAAGTCAAGGCCCTTTGTTTAAAAATGCCAAAATGAAATGTTTCAACATTAATGCACAACAGCTATTTCTTCTTTGCTGAAATAACTCAAAAATTCATTTGTGTACAAACAAAAACTCCCCGTCATCGAAATGGCTTGAAAAGAAGTTTTTCCAGTTTTAGTGTTTAATGTTCTTTCAAAATGTTCTCCCACAGAAGTTGGACAGGATTCAAGGATTCACGAGTCCAGCCCCTAGCTGGAGGGCTCTATTTACAGCTGCGTGGCAATATATACATACGGAAAATTGACCTAGACAAGCAGAGATATGCAGGCAATAAGTACCATGTCTGCCAGTACGAAACATATGTTTTTTTTTCTGTTGGTTTAAATGGCAGCTAGTCAGGTAGTTAGATGCGTGTGAGCTTTTTTCAATATTCTGAATGTGTAAGAATGTTGTAACCCCCTATTTTTTCTTTTTTTCTTTTTATAACTTTGACTTTATTATTTAGTGTAATAATAGATGTGAGGAAAATTCTGGATTTTCAAATAAAACAGATAAAATATTCCTTGCACTTTAAGGAATATGTTTTGCAATAAGACTTTTGAAAAAGAATTTACCCATTTTTCCTCTTTTTAATTAAACTATCTGTGAAAAAATACTTTCATTTGAGAAGGGCAAGCACTTTTAGTTAATGGATTTACATAATGAGTTTTATTACATTTATTTTGAAATTTTCCAACTTTTACAAGCCGATGATACTTCTCTATTTCACCAGATATTATAATGAATAAAGTGTTAAAACTGAAATGCTCAAATCTTGTGTGCTAATATATATGTGCTCTTGAGATATCCACATATTCTTTAACTCTCCCTTTAACTGTTAACAAAAGTTACATATTATCCAGAACTCACAGTGAAGACATTTGAAATTATAGGTGCTAATTAGGATCTCTGCAAATTGGGTTACTTATGCATTTGCATATAGCTACAGTATGAAGAACTAGCTACACAAGATTTGGAGAAGGCTGAGGTTCTGAATGACTTCCTTGCCTCAGTCTTCACTGGTAAAGGCTCTGTGAGAATGAAGACCTTGGGCCCACTGTAGGAGGGGATCTGGTTCGAGACCATCTTAAGAACCTGAACATGCACAAGTCCATGGGACCTGATGAAATCCATTCACGGGTCCTGAAGGAGCTGGTGAATGAAGTTGCTAAGACACTGTCCATTGTATTTGAAAAATCATGGCAGTCAGGTGAAGTTCCCAACAAATGGAAAAAGGGAAATATAACCCCCATTTTCAAGAAAGGGAAAATGGATGAGCCAGGGAAATACAGACCAGTCAGTCTCACCTCTGTGCCTGGCAAAATCTTGGAGTATATTCTCCTGGAAGGCATGCTAAGGCACATGAAAAACAACAAGGTGCTTGGTGACAGCCAGCATGGCTTCACTAAGGGGAAATCCTGCCTGACCAATTTGGTGGCCTTCTGTGATGGGGCTACAGAACTGATGGACAGGGGTAGAGCAGTTGATGTCATCTACCTGGACTTGTGTAAAGCGTTCGACACTGTCCCACACGACATCCTGGTCTCTAAATTGGAGAGACATCAACTTGACAGATGGACCACTTGGTGGATGAAGACCTGGCTGGATGGTTGCACGCAAAGAGTTGTGGTCAATAGCTCAATGTCTGTCTGGAGACCAGTAACAAGTGGTGTCCCACAGGGATTGGTGTTGGGACTGATCTTGTTTAACATCTTTGTCGGTGACATGGATAGTGGGGTTGAGTGTGCCCTCAGCAAGTTTGCTGACGACACCAAGCTGTGTGGTTTGGTTGATACCCTGGAGGGAAGGAATGCCATCCAGAGGGACCTTGACACGCTTGTGAGGTGGGCTGCTGCCAACCTTATGAAGCTTAACCGTGACAAGTGCAAGGTCCTACACCTGGGTCGGAGCAATCCCAGGCACAGCTACAGGTTGGGCAGAGAAGAGATTCAGAGCAGCCCTGCAGAGAAGGACCTGTGGGTGCTGGTCGATGAGAAAATGAACATGAGCCGGCTTCAGTGTGCGCTTGCAGCCCAGAAAGCCAACCGTATCCTGGGCTGCATCAAAAGGAGCGTGACCAGCAGGTTGAAGGAGGTGATCCTGCCCCTCTACTCTGCTCTTGTGAGACCTCACCTGGAGTATTGTGTGCAGTTCTGGTGTCCTCAACATAAAAAGGACATGGAACTGTTGGAACAAGTGCAGAGGAGGGCCACAAGGATGATCAGGGGACTGGAGCACCTCCCGGATGAAGACAGGCTGAGGAAGTTGGGGCTGTTCAACCAGGAGAAGGGATGGCTGTGTGGGGACCTCATAGCAGCCTTCCAGCATCTGAAGGGGGGCTATAGGGATGCTGGGGAGGGACTCTTCATTAGGGACTGTAGTGATAGGACAAGGGGTAACGGGTTAAAACTTAAACAGGGGAAGTTTATATTGGATATAAGGAAGAAATTCTTTACTGTTAGGGTGGTGAGGCACGGGGATAGGTTGCCCAGGGAGGTTGTGAATGCTCCATTCCTGGCAGTGTTCAAGGCCAGGTTGGACAGGGCCTTGGGTGAGATGATTTAGTGTGAGGTGTCCCTGCCCATGGCAGGGGGGTTGGAACTAGATGATCTTAAGGTCCTTTCCAACCCTAACTATTCTATGATTCTATGATTCTATGTGTGTGCCTATAACTAGACGTATATGGAAGAAACAATACTTTCTGTTTGTAATTTGCTGTGTGGAGTGATTTAAAAAAAAATGAAAATTTTCCGTGATTTTCTGTAACACTGATCCTTAGTAAAATGACAAAATCAGAAAGATATTACCGGTGCTATGAAATAGTAGACACATTGCATGGAACCAGCAGAATCTGTACTAATGGAAAAAAAAGTGAGAAAAATGTCAGAAATAGAGGTTGCATTTAGTTAACCCACTATCTGGGAGATGGATAATGAAAATAATGCTTAAGACACAGGGTTAGCCATTGGAACTGTACTTGTTGGTAACTGATGATGATTAAGCCATGACTTGAAATACAGCATTAGCATGTATATATATATACACAAGTATGTGCAGACGTCCAGGTTCTGAAATGTTACCCTGCTTTTGTGAAGTCAGAATAAAAAGTCTGTCTTTGCCCCAAAAAATGCTCCTTTCTGTCAGGCAAGAGTTGACAGAAAGATGCAGATGGGTAAGGTAAGGTGAAGATCTACTAGTTTCTATTTTTATAATGAAAAACAGCTCTTAGAGTTTTAGGATTTTTAGTGAGCCAGATCCTAGAGCGTGGCAGAAACTCCATCTCCAGGAAGTGGAGCAGAGTCCTAGATATAGCTCAATCTGGAAAGTATGTGGATGACACTGGGCTAGGGAATGAGGTTTCCATATATAAATAAAAGATGAATGCCATTAGCACTCACCACAGGATATTTCCTTCTATGTGACCCAAATTTATTTTTTTTATGGTTTTCAGCAGGAGATGTGTCATCAAATGCCTTTTGAATATCAAACAGTTTAAATGAGTTGCCATAATCAACTCCATAACCTTTTATAACCATCTTTGTGGAGGAAACTTTTCCCTTTGAAATCCATATCGGCTATTCTCTTTCAGGTTATTACTTCAAATATGCTTTGCAACTCTCTTCTAATTAGTGAATCCATCTTTTTTGTAAGCTCCAGACGAACAGTGCTACTTGGGTTTCTCCAGGTCAGGATTGCATGCACTCTAAAAACACTGAGGCCTCATCTTTGTACTTGTGCACCTTTTATTTGTGTTCGTGATTTTTTTCATCATGACCGGCACAACCTCTGAATTCCCCCTAGTCTGAATCTTGATCCTCAGACTAACTTAGAGCTTGAGGCTTTCATGAAGCTCTTGGGAGTTAGATCTGCTTGGTATTTCTGGTGGTCATACTAATCTTCTTCAAAACTCTAGAATAAGATCAGCAGAGTTTTGAACATTATTAAACTACTTATGTAAATTAATATTTTGCTACTGTTAATCATAAAATCACTGTCATCAATATTGCTTAGAATTTAGTCCACATTCAAGCCCAATGACTTCTCAGTGAAGTAGCAATTTGAATGAACACTGAGAGATAAAGAGGGTATTTTGGGGAGGTGTTCTTAAGACTGCCTATTATGCAGTCAGTTAGTTTTAATAAAATTGTCCACTATCACCCTTCTAGAAGTTTCAAATGCCCCATTAATGGTATAGTGCCTGGAGTAGACACTGCACCAGAAAGGACACTGGCTTGTAAAGACCCTGTCTTCTGATTCAATTGCAAGGCTAGTATCTTTGTTCATTCAGAATTTATCTTTTTCCTGCTCGAAACAATAAATATATTTTTCTGGTATTGCCACCTCAGAAGTCTGAAGTTATTATGAGGAAGAAATTTATACTAGGAAAAAGAAAAGAAAAAACCAGTTTTTATATTGCCAAATAATATACTGAAGGCAGAAATAGCAAGTGAAAGCTCAAGCTATCACAGAAAAAATAAAGCAAAATATGAATGCTCAGTACATGAAAATTTTGAGGTAATTTTTCCACTTGCAATGGGATTCTGTAGCAAAGTTTTGGTAGCGGGGGGGGTACAGGAGTGGCTTCTGTGAGAAGCTGCTAGAAACTTCCCCTGTGGTCAATAGAGCAAATGCCAGCTGGCTCCAAGACAGGCCTGCCACCAGCCGAGGCTGAGCCCATAAGCAACAGTGGTAGTGCCTCTGTGATAGCATATTTAAGAAGAGAAAAAAGTTTATGTACAGGAGCAGACAGAGAGAAGAGTGAGAACATGTAAGAGAAACAACTCAGCAGGCACCAAAGTCTGTGAAGAAGGAGGAGGACGTGCTCCAGGCATTGGAGCGGACATTCCTGTGCAGCCCCTGCAGTTGAACAACGTACTCCTGCACCAACCACAATATACAGTCAGAAAAGATGGCAACAAAAAAAAAGGGAAAATGTGTCATGGAAAAAATATATGTCTCTTCTCAGTTTTCCACTGTATTCTTAAAACGTTTGCTGTAACATCAAAATTAAGGACTGAGATACTTGATTAAGTTACGGTGTGTCATCTGACCAATAGCAAGACAATGTATATGTTTTAGCCCATAGCACTGAAGGAAATTTAAAGTAATCTATTTTACCTCTGTCCTGGGTTCAGCAGTAGCAGTCATTTTTCCCCTTCTTGGTAGCTGGTGCAGTGCAGTGTTTTGACTTTCAGCTCGGGAACAGAGCTGATAACACCGATGTTTTGGTTTGACCAAGGACTTTGTGAGCCTCATGCTCTGCCAGGGGGGAGGGGAAGCCAGGATGAAGCAGAGACAGGACACCTGACCCAAACTGACCAAAGAGGTATTCCATACCACAGCACGTCATGCCCAGGAGGTAACTGGGAGTTAGCCGGAAGGGCTGGGAGTCTGCAGGGTTGGAGGAGGTATCGGTCGGAGCTTGGTCGGGCTGGGGGGGGGCGAGTTATCGGTCGGCTGGTGGTGAGATGATGTATTCTCTTCCCTTGTTATTTCCTTTATCATTATTATCATTGGTGGTAGCAGTAGTGATTTGTGTTATACCTTAGTTACTAAACTGTTCTTATCTCAACCCGTGGGAGTTGCATTCTTTTTGATTCTCCTCTTCGTCCCTCCGAGAGCAGGGGGAGGGCAAGAAAGGGGGGGAAGTGAGCGAACGAATTACCTGACTGGGTTTAAACCACGACACCTCCCAGTCCATTACTGCAGTTAACTGAGAATCTGCCATAAATCAGTCTTGCGTCCAAGCTCTAACCCAGCTTGGTGTCCTTAGTTAGCCATGAAGTGGTGTATGTGGTACTCTGTACATTTCACAGGACTATAGCGCTTGCTTTTGAGAAGCGTCTGGGATAAAGCAGTCAAAAGCCCAGTGAGGTAAACAGGCAGGAGGCCCAAAGTCGTGATAGAAGAGTGGCTCCAAATGGTTTGGTAAGCACTGGTTGAAAAAGACCAAAGCTTGGTGCTGCTGTTCTAGACATTGCAGTAAAAGAAAGTTTGAATGAGAGTTTTGAAGGAAAATGATAGGATTTTTTTTTGCATAAATTAAAAAATACACTAGTACACTGCTGTTTGAGAGAGAACAGCAGCCAATATTACACAGATAATATTTTATATGATACAGCCTAAGCTGTTGTGTGCATGTCACTGTATTCTTTAGCCCGATTATGTACAGGAAGAGTAGCTGGGTGCTGCTGTCCCTGTGTGTGGTTTATTGGAATGCAATTATTCAGTTTTACAGAGGGAAAACAGAGTTTTACAACGTTCTTTCTCTAAGAAGCAATCTTCGTAGAAACATTACACAGTAAAGTTATGAAGTGCAGTGTAAATCTGTCATACTTTTTCAGATTTCCGCTAACTGTGGTGCTACAGCATTAGTTCATTCCTGTAAATAGTATTGTCCACTTAGTAATCTCAATAGTTATGATCTTCAAAAATCCCTCAGGTTATCTGAAAAACAAGTGGAAAATAATTCCTTCTGTAGTGTTGAACAAAAGGGACTTGAACAGGGGTAATTAAAAACCTTTGTATAAAGTAGAATCATCATCAAGTGCAGGTAGAGCATTTGTCACAATGGAAAAATTTATATGTGCTGAAGTTTTCAGTATGTATCACTCATTGTGTCTTACCAGTACTGCAGTCCCTTATAGACTGATGAGTAAATAATGAAGTTTTATATAATTCGTTATTTGATTATCATGAATTCCATTGTATATCTCAGTCATCATAAAAATGTGTTTCTAAGTATCCACCGTGTCTTCATGTGTTCAAGAGAAGGCAAGAGAGTTTAAAGTTGACACTATTTAACCCAGATAAAAATTCCCAAGTATTTCAAAAGAGTAGAAACCAGATCAGGACATGTCTTGTGCTGTATGTGGCAACAGAAGAGAAACAGGTTATTCAGATCATGACTTGCTGAGACAAACTAGGGGAGTGCATACTGCAGAAATTAGCAGTGAATAAAATGTGTAGGTTGCGAAGTTTTTTGGAGGTGTCCCTCCACAGTACTAGTTTGACCTGGAAGCACTTGTAGCTGACAGTGAATTTTTTTTTTTTTTTTTTGATAGAGTAGCACAGTGATTTTATCTTGATTTTAAGAAAATAAAGCTCAATTTTACATTGAGACACGAATTCTCACTTGAGTGAGATTTTAGCTCAACTTTGGCGTGTCAAGTGTTAACAGTTCCACAATCAGTTGTGGTTGCATTCATGGAATGCCACATTATTAATTTCATGTGATTTATCCATTTACCTGTAACATCTAGAGTTATGGTCCTGACCTAAAAAAGCTTGCAATTCTATTTTGTTTCATCAGAAGAGTTGACAACTTTGAGAAAAAATTTATTCTGGGGGAAGGAAAGCTCTTTTGGTTTTTTTTTTGACAAATACTTTGTGGAAATACTTTCAAGCATTTGCACTTCATACTATTATGGCTGAAGATGGAATTTTATGCAGGGGATTCCCAGTCTTCTTTTATCAGAGGAAAGCATTAAATATTTGTAAGCCTATGGCTTTTTAAAACAAGCTGATGATTCAAAGCTAATTTCTGAACCTGCTCTAGGTTCAGATTCCCCATTAATTCTGATACAGAGATTGCTTTTTCATTTGATTCTGCTTGAATTAACTGTAAAGTACTGGTGAGTGCTACTTTCAGCCTTGTTAG